AAATGCATGGACGGAATGAACCAGGAACATTCGGTTATGCATGTGCGTCGATAAAAATAACTTGTGTCAAACATATCCAACGATAATGTTAACCTGGATCATGTGCAATCTTCTCTATTCAGTTAGTTGGATCGCATTAACAAGTGCCGTCGCTATCCCACGACGCCAAAGCCACATAAGAGTCATTCATATAACAGGCCTATTTGAACGAAAATCCCTCCAGAAAGACTTTAACTGATATTATTTAAAGAACATTATTGAAAGGCACGTTGATCGTAAAATTTAACTATCGTGAAACTGACTGGCGCAGCCATGCATTCCCAAACGAGTTACTAGAATTGTATTAGTACTTCACCTCCTTGGTTCCAGCTTATGCCATTGTGCACAGTAAAGATAGCATCCAAGATCTCAACGTATTTTCTTACCGTTCTGCTTATCTTTCCAAAATGCATTTACTCCATCTGTACCGACTGTACTCAAATCGCATCCGAACGTTCTACTAAAGACAATGCAATTCGACAACAATGATAGTAAGTAGTCCAGCAGCTCCATAACCTCCTCCTACTTAGATCTCAATCGCGCTCCTCCGGCTCTGCTAGTAGTTGATATCCCGCAACAAAACATTAACACTTCATTTATGCAGGCTAGCTGCGTTTTATCTCACTGGAAGCATACTTCAGTAATTCTGCGACATAAGGTCTACACAACGATTACGCGTCAAACTACCGCCCGATATGTCACGCACCCATATTCAGCAAATTATTGAGAAAAAATGTAAAGGACGGCGGTTCCATTTCCTACTTTCAAGAAAACTGGTAAACAAGTCGTAGCACAGCTTTTCAACTAGATTTCAACTCATTTGTGCCTACCGCATGTACGTCATGATAGGTTGATTTTAACTGTCTAATCAGACATAATTTCCCCCATACTCTGCTGACTTTAATCTTGTCTAACAAATAGGAGCAAACTCCTAACCAATCTGTAGGATAAACACCAACATATACTTGTCCATGTCTGTGCTCATGAAATTGCTGTTTCACACCGACAAAGAACTTCTGCATTGATTAGAGCTATGTATTCACATACGGTGGGGACATTCGTACTCACCTCGTAAAGCATTCGCTTGTAATAACCTAATACATGGCTTGTAAATGCATCATTATTATTGTCATTATTATGCTGTTTAAATGTGGTTTCTTACTACAATCTTGCAATATGTGGAGAAAACTGGTTGCACAAAATGTCTAAGGAAAACTCTCCCACCAGTTCATTTCCATTGTTTTAAAAGTGGAGAAGGCACAGAGATATATTGCTCACGAGAAAATATATGCGAATGTTTGCAGCGAATGTCTGCGTACTGTGAATTAACAGCGGTTTTCCTATGGTCACTAAATCAGGACGGTATATCAGTTGCCGCAGAGAGCTTGGGATGATAAAATAGTTTCCACATCTGGCTTAAAGTTCACAATAAGATGTGTATATCGTGTATGCCGCTAACACATATACAACACTCGTGGTACACTAGGCTAAAACGCGTTCGACTATCAGAAGCAAATAAAGAACATAGTTTTCCCATACAATTTTAACGATCGGATTCCGGTATAAACTGGAAAGTATGTTAAAAGTGTCCACTGTATCATTGAGTCGCCACAATTTGGAAATGTTTTCCTCTGGATTCAAGATATCAGTTCCACTAAATGAATGTTAGAGCCTAGGCACTAAAAATTTTTCTACAGCTGTATGAAGCATTGTCAGGTTAGACACCGATCAACGAGTACGCAAGCGGCTTGTTTAGAGCTAGAATTATAGATACAGATAAAGTGTTCAGTGTCAACGAAGTGGGAGACCGTAGCTTTTAACGAAATTATTTGCGGCAAAATTAGCATGCGGTAATACTGATACCCGATAGGGAATAATAATTTTTGGAAAACAAGACAAAATGAAGGAAACAACAATATTTATTGCTTAGTCTAACCTTTGTGTCCCAGCTGAAGCAGACCGCGACGAATCCGAGCGAGTGGATAATGCAATAGTTAGTGAATTGAAGAAGCTCCTGTATTCAGGAATTGTTCATGCAAAACTTTGGAACAGTTTCGCCCTCGGAGCCCTTGATGTTCTCATAGGTATGGTATACCAAAAGATCAAAGGCAAAATATCGTCATATGTCTAGTACTTTCACTGATAGGCGCACGGAAACCAAACTACCTTATGTCTAACCAACTTAATCGAGCCCATCCAGAGGTAACTTTCCGGATACAGCCTGAGAGATACTCCAGCATTTGTTGAAAATTTTGGGATTTTAACGCGTAGCAAAAGTTGCGGGATCGACTTTGATATATGCTAATTCTTTACAAAGATCCATATGAAAAAATCTTAGGACATATTAGCGAGACATGTAGAATATTTGGGTTCCCAGCGCTCCAACTTAAGCGTTACTCCGCCTATACAAAATATATTCATTTCCGATACAATGGAACCCTTTAACGCCAATGGACGGCTTGGCCTTCGGTATTACACTAAGCGCATTTAATGCTGTAGCATTTACACAAAGTTCTGATAAGTATATAGACGACGGTATAATTACCATACAAGAGCAACATGTGTCAACCTGCGAACACGCTCACCATAGAAAGCAAAAGGAAAGTATGATTTATTTCTGAAATACAATTCACGCAAGGAGAAAAACAACGCGATAGTTTGGTCTGTATACATCTTTCTTCAACTTTCCTCTCCGGGTAAAATCGACAATGCTTGTGAATGTTTCAAGTTGCCAAAATTTAACAGGTTTCACCGAGCGATTCATAAGTATTTACGCAACATTGTCACCATTGCCAAATATTCTTTGTGCCGAACCCCAGGTGTTGCGTTGCAGTTAATAACCAAACAATGCAACCCATGCCTACTGAATTTCATTGAATCATCAGCTAGTTGGCCTTTAGAACTAAAATTATCCAGAGAGAGATTCAGTGTTCAATCTAGTGCTTTTCTCATCAGGTCAGTGATCGTTTTGTCATCTCACTGAAATTAGGTGAACGCATTGGCTTTCAGATGAGTTAACTCTCATTATAACATCGCACTTTGATTGATTTATATAGGCATGCTATTTGCTCTACAATCTCCTGTACATGGATACGTGAAAACGCAAAATATCCGGATTCAGTATATCCTGTGAAAGCTAGCTTCGTTTTGTGACAGTAATTCTATAACGACGTGAACGTTCCCATTTTTCACTTGCTTATTTCTAACCTTGGTTCCCCTCTCAGCTCCTTCTTTTTACCACCTATTAACCAAACGCTATATTCTTCCATTATCCTGCCACTTTCATGGGAATTGCTACGGTTCGCTACTGAATATACATTGCTGCAAATGCATATTAATGCTGCTTCAGTAATGCCATGTTTTCACTAAATTTTGTCCAGCGCCTAAATTTCACTCTTGAATTCATTTCATTTTGAGGATCATCGTGTGCCGACTAACAGCGATGAGCTTCATTATTAACCTTCGATTGATCTGCTTAATAGAATACCTGTTCCCAAAGCTAGTATTAAAACATCCCAAGAGCCTCAGCAGTTTTATCTACAAACATTTTAGTGCGTGCAGTAATAGTTGTTGTTAAGATATTTTTCAAACTGATGGGTACGCTGTGCTACATTTTAATATACCCGTTGCATTGAAGTGATTAGAATAAATGTTATTTATTGCTTTTTCAGCGTATGTTTTCTTCGTTGGACAAAAATGAACACCAAAGAAATGCCCTATTTTCAATTTTCCGCATTAGGTCCGGTTGCGTTACATACCGAAATTCCGCAAAGATTTTCCAGCGCAAGCTACTTAATATTTATATTATTGTTTAGGTGAATTGTTTTCTACACAGGAGCGCCTACATTAATATTATAGTATGGTTCATTCACGAACATGTCCTTTGATGCTATCATCTGTTGTTTTTATAGAGTCAGATCGCATAGACTCAATTGCAGCGATACATGCTGTCTAGGATGAGCAATGCGATCATTTGTATTCCTTTTTAACACGTTCTTCCTCAAACATTTTAATAATCAGTCCGTTTAAATTGCAATTTCCTCCTTGTTTAAAGGGTATCATTTCCTCCCTCTAACTTCTCTGATAAGTAACCATGATAGGGAGGCCATCCTGCTTGCGTCACAGATTTGGGGGCTCAAGGTCTTCCAGCTATTTCTCCTTAAGTAGGGACATATTTTGGGGAATTAGAACACTAATTAGAATTCACGTGATATGCAACATTGACTTACGTAAACCATGGTTTGCCTGTTTTCCGCTTCATGAAATTCACAACCATGGCACTAGGACCCACTAAACACAACTCATCGAGTATAATTTTCGACAGAAATCCGTGAATGTATTGCGTTAATACACCTTCATCCAAGACTCTTGACAAGTGCTTTGTATTGTGCACAAATGCATTAGGTCAGTTGCTTCGCATTGATGATGGAAGACTAGAATGCGCACCACTACCGCGAGTTCTGCTTAATTTAGTTTCTTAAACACATGCACGCCACGAGTATTTATGGCACGATGTCTTCAGTAGTTGTACCGCCTACACTAAGACCTACGTGCGATTAGATCGCGACACGCAATCTATACAGGGAATTCGATTTACTTTATATCGGACCTCGGTTATTGGCCTTACAAAGCCTGGACCAGAACTGATAGGGTCTTTGTGTTGCACCTCCTTGCTACGTCCCAAGCACTAGGCAAGTCAGTGCACAGCATATATTCCGGTAATATATCACGGGTTAATCGACATGCAGGAAGAATAAATGCGTATCAATATTTGTAGTAGAAAACTCTCGCGCCACCCTACATATAGCCTCATGAGAAAGAACCAGCCAATTAGAGCTGAAGCAGTGAAAATCAATTTATTGACAAACTTGCAGTCTTTATTAGAGGAACAAATCAATTGCTCTCAAATATCCATTAGACACGTTTCCCGGTGCACTCATTTGATTTTGTTGAAAATACCTTTAACGCGAACCTGCAAGAATTAGACGCATCAGGTAATTAAACCATGACATCACAAGGCAACATATTTTTCAAGATATTCTCATCGGTTATTCATTCGAACTTCCAATCCGTGTTTCTATTCAACATATTGTGAGTCCATTTGAAGTAATCGTGTGGACAGCGATTCGCAACTAACAGATCCCCAATCAAATCAAACACTGAAACCGTAACTGATGAATCTGGCGGGTGTTGCTATCCCGAAAACACTGTACTGAATGACAGGCTTCAGGCTAAGTTATCCCATCAGGTAGAGATAGAATGGAATCAAAATCGGAGACGATTGGATGTCAGCTAAGCTGAAACCACTTTAGCCACAGGGTCACGAGGGGCAAACATTGTCACAAAGCATTATAGAACAAGAGGATTGGAATCCGTAGTAGGTGGAAATGTAGATACTAGCAAGTGGAACTACAGTTGAAATAACCCCATTCAACAAGACACAATACGTAGGTCTATCGGCCGTAATATACAAGATTGCTTTGCAATCCTTGTGGTTCCATCCCTAAGGAATACACAGCGTACCAGGCAGAAACTACTGCAAGCAACATGCATTAGAATTTCACTGAGGAAACACAAATTCCGCTATCTACAAAGAAAACTTACTCGAATGTCGGCTGAGGATTTCAGCCACAGACTTGTAATTTTTGTTGTTGATTTCCTCCAACACTGGAAAAACATTCACAATGATAAATGTAATTAATGGAAGCAAGGAAGTTGAAGTAACTGCGCATCGTTACTGAACTGCAGTCATGTTCGAGTTTCGTGTTGCCTAATATGAATTAGCGCTATTGTTCATATTCGTCCACTATATTCGCTAAATACAAACAGGGATGAATATAACAGCAATGGTATTTGATAACTTGAGGAACGCAGTTGGAACAAGTGTGAGTTTAATGATATTACTTTCTCAAGTGTGCTAATGCGTATAGTGTGTGGTCATAATATATTTGTATTATTTTAGAAGCACGGAATGCGCATATTTCTGAGGCGGTATAGTTTGGAAATAAAATTATATGATTGTTGGATAACAAGATGACTTCGGTATTTATTGGATAAACTGGTGGATAGAATGATGCGGCCACAGCCTTGTTCTACAGAGGAACTCATTGCAATTTAACGTAGGTTTACAGATGAACATAAGTTTCTCCACCGTGCAAGTTATACAGGCATGCGTTTAAAACTGGTCCGGTAAACGACAACTAGGATTTGTGTTCTGGACAAATGTGATGACTACAATTATCTTAAAAATCTTTGGCTAAGGAAAATAAGAAAGTAAGTATTCTACGAGGCATTATATTCAGGGGTGTTGAAGAGCAATTTCTGGTTCATAGCTCAAGTCGATTGGTGTTCAAGCCAACATCTTACAATTCTTCCCAGCCATCGTCATATACTGTTTAGATTAAAATGCGGTTTGGACACAATAACAAGCAGAATGGTTTTAGTTTTGGTCTTACAACGCAAAAGAACTATCGTCTGACAAACGAGAAGCCTGAAGCCAATTTAATTACAGGTAGGGCATTTTATTTTAGCACAAAACTTGCCCCGCCGTATATTGGAAACCACCACACGGATATAATACTGCGAGGAATTTTGATGGTTTTAATTCCTTTACAGTCATCCGTCAATCCATATAAGCTGTAGACACGCAGTTTTTATTTCATGGGGCTCAAGATGAAATACACAATTTGTCTCATGTATATTGGATTTAACGTGTAAACATGGAGTAATTATTTTGAGCATGGAAAGAGAAAGTAGCAAGTTTAGTCCCAAATGTGGTTCCCATGTGCGCGTGCAGTCAGCAGTGTGCTCGCCTAACAGAGGGTAATGCCATTCACGTCCCGGTTGACCAACAGATTACGCCACACTAGGGCGCTCATAAAAGCAGTAGGTCAAGCATACCGCCTGCTTGACTTGGCCCAGGAAACGACCAATATATACATGATCTTTCTTAAATATTTCTAGAAGATAGCTAAGGCATACAATGTAAAAAACTGACATGCATTCGGTGCCTTTGTATAGACCTTTCAGATTGCAACAATTACATATTTCCAGTTATGAAGTTATGATATGAAGTTGCTGGATAAAACACTCACGCGCACAAGTTCAGTTATCACCACAAGGAAAGCATTCTGAGCAGCGAGACAATTTGATGCTGGATATCTTGGAACACATTTGGAACCGATTGGGAATTCATCGTTTCAGAAAACTTGGTAGACGGCCGGTTAATGTATTTATTTTGAAAGACAACGTTTCGATTTTGACAAAGAAATCTTTGTGAAACGCAGCTGTTATGCACCTCAGAGTCTGGGGTTTAGCAGATTGCGTTGGAAGCGCATAACTTCAGTTTGAAAATGGGCTGATAACCTACATTACATTTTGGCATAGCAGATGATAACAACGTAGCCCGATTCGGCCGAGGTTGTCAGTAACTAATCAATGGCCCGTCACGAAAGTACCATACGAGGGGTAAGAAAATATCTTCATGTTAGCGACAACGCATTTATCTAAACGCCAAGTGCATATTGATTCCATCACCTGCCTGTGATATTACACAGCGAGAAAAATGAAAACTGCCATGTCAGAGTGTACGAAGAAAAATATGATTAAGCGTGGCAAAGTAAACAACTGATATTGAGTAGGCGGTATGTACACCGAGCAGGTCACGTAGGTTGTACTCACTTTTCACAAAGGAGCGGGCCCCCTGTGTAAGCATTTTGATAGCGTCGTACAAGTAACCGGATTCTAGGAGTAGTAAAAACAAGAGTACACACAATATCAAAACATCACGTGTCATCAGTTTTGGAGTCGCTCAGGCATACTTAGAGTAGAACATAGTTTAAAACATTCTGTCTAAATGCGCGACTAAAACGGGAAATGTTTGCGATGTTGATTTCAGTCCATGATGCATTTTCATCTTCAACACGCAAATCAATATTCTTGCCACAGCACAATTATACGGTTAGCTGCGAACGGACATTCGGGCTGGTGCATGACAATCATCTATACATAATTATAAGGGAATTCACAAAGGAGTCACATCGCATAAATTTGTTGATTGCATATAAAGCATTTCGATACTCGAGTAATTTAGGGGGTATCCAGTTTATTAGAAATTGGAACGGAGCAAATAAAAGCCTGTAGTGTATGCACTGGATGATGAAAAATTACTGCTCAGTCTAAGATTACAGAACAGTCTTCGTCAGGTTAAACTGTGTTATCCAATAGGAAACTTTCAAATCTTCTGCGTGTCGTATCGTGCGCCTGAGAATGGGTAATTTCACAAACAGATTTCATTTAATCAACACTACGAACTCCCAGGACGGAGAAAAATGATCGTCTCACGAATAGGGTAGATTAAGTAATATTCCATTCGCCAGTGAAATGACTGGTCACGTGAACATACCATTGTGAGGCGTTAATGACTCTGAAATCAAGAAACGCGAGCACAAGATTACCCAAAGCATTTGCCATAAGTAATGGAATCAATACTAATTTGTCAATACATATTTCAATCTCTCCAATTATGTTTATTTTACAGTAAAATTTAGTAGATAATTGGATTCGACAAATGGTTTACTTGACCAAAAACGACATTATTCCATTGGTTATTTGTGTACGAAAATGATACTAGTTTCACCGGTATTTTATTTTTATGAATTGCGTAGGGAAAATTTTTCATGCGTTTCATAGGATTATATTTGGATGAGAAACAACTTATAAATCGGGGAATTAACAGGTCGCTAACTAGCACACTTATTGCTCTGAGCATGGACATGGAAGACTCGCATATATGCAGCACCCGGTTATTTAATTTTAATAAGGCATATTCCATACCTTATCATTTAATCTCTTTGTACACCCATATCTCAGTCGTTATAAAGCTGACAAGCAATATTATCTTATAACTATATAGTTGTCTTTGTTTTTTAGTAGCTTTCATGCATATTCTTTTTACCACGCGGAATGCATTTGGAATTGCTGTTGGCAAATTGTGTAGCGCAGTCTGTTTGAATTTACGGAGATCCATCGGTGTTTTGAGCTACACATAATGCACCGTCTTGCTTGATGTTAAGTACACTATTGACATGGGAATACAAGACCAGTTTAATGTTCAGCTCGCACTTACCGCTCATTTTGGGCTGCTTACTGCTGCTCCTGTCTGCATGGGTGACGAGGGAAAAACGGTATTTTAGAATCGAATTTTTATGAGAAATACACATTTGCTACTGCAGACAATAAGCAAATGCAAGTGTTGCATTCCGCCGAAGTAAAGGAAGAGTTACATCTGATCAACACTACGAACACAAATAAGAAAATGTGCGCCTAAATCAAAGCGGCTTTCATAGCTTATTGCTACATTGTTGTAGGAGATACACCACAGCAGCAGTTAGATAGACAACCACTGAGTGTTCACAAAATTGCAGGACAGATATTTCATCATTATGCGAATAATCAGCAATGCGCATCCGGTATCTAACTAGTGATGTTAGAACTGGCGACATTACTCCCACAAACCGGATTATGATGTTCCTCGCGTTATTTCCTACGGGAATTTTAAACTGCAATATTGACCGTGCAATTTAGCTTGCCCATAAGTCCTTTGACAATGCTGTGTAAGTCTAGCCGTCAATGACAAATGTAGATTTTCTGATGACAACTCAGCTTCTTGGTACAAGTTGAGCGAAGAATATATGTTTCCAGTAATGAGTACTTTGCATTCTATACAACGCTTTAATGGCACTTTGAGTGAAAATGTCTCACATGGCAGTATAATACCAGCTGAAGCTTAGAAAAAGCATCAGCTACAAGTGTAATACACTAGCTCGGAAAAACTCCGGAGATTGGAACTAGAGATTTATTGAGCAACACGTAGCAAAATACAATAAAGGAAACAATTTTATAAAAGGAAGAAAAACGTTACAGGCAATCTTCTGCTGCTTGCCTACTTCCGTTAAAGCGCACGACCAGGTTTCCTAGCAAGGCAAAGGCGAGCTGCAGCGTAGAGCACCAGTTCAAAGTCAAGCAGCGCTCTACGACAGTTTCCGTTCCACACTACACTAGAACCTCCCTCCTTCGAGCGCCCTTCCCCGTGCTAATCCGTAGCCCCCCTCAGTTTGTTCTTCAAGTTCACAAGCGACCACTGGTGGTGTATCTGCCCTCTCTGACTCAACTGACTAGGCTTCTCGTCTACAGATTTTGAGGCGATTGAAATGGACAACTGTAGGTTGACTATTAGGGTTGTTACGATCCTTTATCATTCAGGTGGCCTCAGAGAGCACTCGTGCTACCGTATATGGACCCGTCCACTCTCTGTGTAACTTTGCCGGCACTCCTGATGCTTGAGGTTGGTGTAACTAAACTAAATCACCAACTTTCAGGGGTACGCCAAATACCTTCTTGTCGTAATATTCCTTCGGACGCCTGTGTGCATTCCCTAAATGCACTCGTGCTGACTGATGAGACTGCCACAGGGAATCTAACAACTTGCTAACATATTCCCTAACCGACGGCTGTAGCTATTGCGTCATCGGTAGACGTAGATCCGAAGGTAATCGTGCCTCTCTTCCCGTCCACATAAGGAATGGTGTCTGTCCCGTCGATGAATGTACTGTGCTCCTGTATGCAAGTAGGCATCTGGGCAACACATTGTTCCGCTCCTTGATATTCCTGTCCGCGAAGGCCTTCAACAACGATTTAAGAGAACGATTTGTTCTTTCCTCTTGCCCATTTCCTTGAGGATGATACGCTGTGGTTCGAGTTTTGTCTATCCAAGTAACCGACAATCTTCAATGACCAGTGAGCTCTCAAAGCACAATCCCTTATCCAAGTGTAGCTGCCCTGGTGCACCCCAGTGGCAGACCGAATGATTTACCAAAGCTGTTGCCACAATAGATGTATCCGACTGTCCTATTGGTATAGCCTCGCACCATTTAGTAAAGTAATCGATCACGACCAAAATAAAGCGATTACCTCGTGGCGTCTCAGGTAAAGGACCTATGAGATCCACTCCTACTATCTCGTTAGGATAGTCGGCCACCATGGGCTGCAAGGGTGCACGGTGAACGATACGAGGGTTTTTTAAGGGCACCACATTCTTCGCACGCTTGACAGTAGTTGATCACATCTCGTCTTTGATGGGGCCACCAGAAACGTCGTCGAACCGCTTCATCCATTTTATTGATCCCTGCATGTCCCATTTCCTTGTATAAACCGCTCAATACTTCCCTAACCATAGAGTGCGGGACGATGATTCTCCTCGTGTACGTCAGTCCGAAATTGAAAACCAAAACCTCTTCTTCGGTGGTCAGGTAATCCCACGTGGCCCAAAGGCAACGAGCTTCGTAACTTTTCCCTTTCATCTCTTTACTCGCTGGTTTGTCGCCGCCATTAAGACGCCTCTCGTAGATCAATGCGGTATCGAGATCGTTCGCCTGTGCCGTTTGCCATCGACCATACTCTGCTCCTTGAAGATTGACAATTGCTACGTGTTGCGTATTACACGAAGGGCACTCTCCATGGTTGCGAGGGGGAATTCATAACAATGCATCAGCATTAGCGTGTTGATGACCGGGGCGATATCTGCACTCAAAGTCATATTCCTGCAATTGCTCTTACCAACGCGCGATTTGGCCTTCAGGGTCTTTAAAATTCTGCAGCCACCGAAGTGATTGGTGGTCTGTGCGGACCAGAAACTTTTGACCTAATAGATAGTGTCGGTTTTGTTTGATGAAATATACCAATGCCAACATCTCTTTCCTAGTCGTGCAGTAATTTCGCTCCCTCGAGCTAAGACTGCGACTACAATATGCCACGACTCGTTCGACACCATCCGATCCCAGTTGTGACAACACCGCTCCAATCGCCTTATCACTCGCATCAGTGTCCAAGATAAACTGACCAGCAGACGGGTACAAATCGGGAAATATTAGCAAAGGGGCCGTACAGAGAGATTCACGTAGGTGATTGAAAGCTTCTGCGCACTGCTTCGACCATTCGACCATTCGACCCTTCTCTAGCAATGAGTGTAGTGGGGCTGCGATGGATGAGAAGTTTCGAATAAATCACCGGTAATATGATGCTAACCCGAGAAAACGACGTAACTGTTCCGTAGTGGTTGGCGTTGGCCACGATCTGACCTGTTCAGCCTTCACCGGGTCCGTTCGAATACCATCTCCATATATTATGTGCCCTAAGTACGCCACTTCCCTTTTCAAGAGATGACACTTTGAGGGCTTCAGATTTAATCCCACTCTCACCAAGCATTCCAAAACACTCGCCAAATTGTCCAAGTGTTCATCTTCCGTCTTTCCATGTGCGATGACATCATTCAAATACACAAGGCATTTACGCGGGATCAGGTCGGCTAATGCTTTTTGCATAAGACGTTGGAAGGTAGCTGGAGCGTTAGATAAGCCAAATGGCATGGTCTGAAACTCGTACAACCCGGAGGGCACGACAAAGGCGGTTTTCGCTCGATCGCTCTCTTCTACTTCCACCTGCCAGTAACAGGAAGCTAGGTCAAGTGTACTAAAATACACAGATCCACCAAGTGCGTTGAACTGATCGTCGATCCTTGGGAGTGGGTAGGCGTCCTTTCGAGTAGCCTCGTTCAATCTTCAGTAATCGACGCATAATCGGGAGCCACCGTCCTTTTTCTTTACCAGGACAACAGGAGATGCCCACGGGGAGTTGGAGGGTTGGATAACGTTCTTCTCTAACATCTCATCTATCAGCTTCTGTATCTCACCCTGCCAGTGGATTGGAATACTTCCAGGAGGCACTTTAATCGGTCGAGCCACACTAGTGTCAATAGCATGTTTCACCAGGCCGGTCCGTCCCAAATCGCCGGATTCCCATGCATAGGCGTCTGAATAATTTTGTAGAACCTGCGCTAATCCTGCCTGTGTTAATGTATTGGCTGAAAGCCCAAGCGACCGAATAAAATCGTCTACACATTGTTGCTCTTTGATACTGCACTCATGCAACGTAAAATCCTCAAAATTCCTATTGCTGCATGCTCTCAGTAGTATGGTGCAACAATCAGCGATTAGTTGGGAATTCTCCAGGTCAAGTCGGCATTTTAACCTCCTCAACAAATCTATTCCGATAATAACATCGAACGGTATCCGGTCAGCAACGATAAATTCATGGTTAAACGTTGTGCAGGCTACAACAACGGGGGCAACAATGGAATTCCGAACAACTAGTGGTAGCCCGTTGGCTGTTATAAGGCGAGCGTTAAAAGGTTTTCTAACACAGTTTGAGAAGCTCTTACTCATACTGGCCCTGATTATGCTTCCAGCTGCGCCGGTATCCACCAGCCCCAGTAAGCAAGTCCCAGTTATCGATAATTCCAGTGTTAACGAAGTTACAATCGAGTTGCAAGTAAGAGATGGTACCGTAAATGATGTCATGGCATACTCAACTGACGTGCTCCTGTAGCGAGACTATCCGCGGTATGACGTTTGTCTGCGGGGCCACCGAAAACCTGATTGTGTCGGTCGTCGTGGGGCGGGATATCTCTGAATACGGCCAGGGTTTCCCGTCATTCTTTCAGGTAGGACGCGTCTGGGTTGTGTGTTCCCCCTTAAAGCAAAACAGCCAGATGTAGGTGTACCCATCGCTGCGTCTATTTCTTCCAACTTGTCACCTGTTTCCAATGCTTCGTCCAAACGACGGGGAGGGTATCGCAGGAACTCCCTTTTAATAGACGGCATTTGAATGCCCTCTAGGTGTTGCCCTAAGACCAGTTTTTCACGTTCGTCTGGCTTTTCGTTCTCGTATGCGATATCGACCATCCTCTGCAGCTGGCGAACGTATGTGCGGATGGTTTCCCCCGGATATTGGGTAACGTGCGTGGAATGCCCTGCGTAGGGGCGCAGGTAGACCGGGGCGGGCTAATAATCGGCGCATGGCGGAAAGAGTCTCGGTTGTTACTTCTTTCTCCAAAAGTTTCCTGTCTGCAACAATATCAAAGGCCTCTCCCGAGAGCAGGCCGGCGAGCACAGCTGTTGGTTGGTTGGATGGGAAATGACGCAGAAAAAACTGGACTTGCTTTTCCCACCTGGGGTACAGCATCCCCAGGGTAAAGCGTTCTGGCGGTGGAATAGATGGCATGCTGGTTGAAGAAGTTGGTGAAGTCGACATTTTCTGCAAAGTCCGTGATAACACATCGAGCGAAGCGGCGAGCTTTGACGTCAGGTCACTGGCGTCAAAATTA